ACTGCATAGCCATCCAACAACCAGGTTTCCATCCCCGACTACTTTATATGCAACTAGAGAACACAAATAAGCCTGTTTCCGCAAATGACGATTGAAACATGTCCCATCCTGGAACGAAATCGTTGTCACTAGGACAACTGTTTTATAAGGACTTGAAACATCGTCAATGGCTTCAATCGTTTGAACTGTGAAAATGTTGCCAGCTATGATACTTTTGTGATTTAGGTCCAAGCAGAAGGATAGAGAAATAAACACTGAATGCTTGATCAACTATAGTTCCTCAGAACAAGAGAATCTGAGGTTCTCAGGAGCTCTAACACTAGAAAACATCACAGGGCAATGGTAGCCTTTAGACAGACAGACAGACAGACAGACAGGACAGACAGACAGACAGACAGACTGACTGAGCATGACTCACGAAATCGTAATGACACTATTGCAAATAAACCCTACCACGTTAGCCCAGTGGCTAACGCGACGGTCTGGAGTTTTGAGACTGATCGCGGGTTCAAACCCCAACCGCCCGTGGTATGGTTTTACTGAGCATTTCGCCCACCGTACACATGTCCCCCTCCGTTACCCCACCATCAGCTGCGCTGCTTTCCCGCATACCTGCTTTTCCAAGCATCGTCCGTAAGATTTGATCAATTTGAGTGTCGAAGTTCAATATCAGCTGCCTAGAAAAGTTTTCCACGCTGCTTATGTTGCGTTTACAAGTGTAGTGTGGTATAAACCTTGGTAATAAAGTACCGACAGTTGTTTTATAGAAAGCCACGTAAGCCAAACACTGACATATTATTAGAAAAAAGTTTCGTCCGGGACCTTGATCAAGGTTCCCAGGAACCGAAACGTATTCTAAAAATGTCATAGTGTTTGCTTACGTGTCTTTCTAAACCAACTAGTGTAGTGTTTACAGAAATGTACATGGTGATAAATTCCCTCGCAGGATGCGCGACACTCGGGACAAAATCTTTAATCAGACGAATGAAGCAAGAACATGGCTCTTCGTCCCCCCACCCCCCCCATTTTTCCGCCGTCAGCCCCCTCCACCACCACACCACTGTCGTCACCACCACCATACCACCGTCACTACCTCTACACAACTGCCGCCACCGTCACCACCGTTGCTCTGGATATTCACAGGCCACGGTATTCCTACTGGCTTTACGGCAGCTATTACGGCAGACATTTGGCAGCACCTCCGTCAGAGATTGTCAGGAAGTCGTTAGTGCTATTGGATAGTTTGCGTTTTCGTTTAATCAAACTAAGAGAATGATATACACGTTCTTTGTATTCAGAAATGTTTTATTTATAAATGTCCGTTACACACGTTTCGCCTACACAGTAGGCTTCTTCAGTCGAATACAGAAAGTATGCAGGAACAGTAGAGATGTGAGGACGATGTAATCAGTCCATCACCCTTGAAGTAGTAGAATTTGAGGTTGTCAGTCCCTCAGCCTGGAGAAGTTCAGTTCCATAGTCAGGAACTATCTTAAGATAAAGTGACGGTGCGGAGACTTAAATACTGTCGGAAGGAGAGGTGCAGAGTAGCAGTAGTGAGAATGCAATCATCATCTCTACTGTTCCTGCCTACTTTCTGTATTCGACTGAAGCCTACTGTGTAGGCGAAACGTTTCGGAATAAAGTTGCTGAGAGAAATGCACCTGACAGTTGAATCCCTATTTTAGGGATCAAATTATTGTCCGGTGAATAGGCTTGCAGCCTACTGCACTGTGTAGGCTTTAAACCCCGTTAAACAAGTTTATGACAAAACTATGAAAGCTGACATTACCATCCAGACTCCAACTGCAACTTTGACAACTTGTTAAGGAACTTTGAGGAGCAATGCAATAAATGGTTTACAAAACCGACAAGTTTAAGAATAAGATATTTGTGTAATATTTGGGAATCCTTATTGGAGAAACGTTTCGCTAGCCAGTGGTTTCTTCAGTCCAATACACCTGCTTCACGTCACCTCACTACAGTATATAAGCCACGTCTTCGGCCCTATGCTGTACATTCTACAAGATTGATGGACTGAACACATCGACTCCAGGTTGAGGGATTGAGGGACTGATTACCTCATTCTCCTCCTCTCCTTACGCCTTCCTCTTTGTATTGGACTGATGAAGCCACTGTGTGGCGAAACGTTTCCTGAATAAAGATTCCCATATGCTGCATAAGTGTCTCAATCTTCAACTTGTCGGTTTTTCAAACCATTCATCACAAGTATCAAAATGGTGTAAATCCAGACAAGCTGATAAGCAAGACATGAGCAACAGTTGGGTATCTATTCCGAAAGTTTTCTCCTACACAGTAGGCTTCTTAAGTAGAATACAGACAGTTTTGGAGTGGTCAGTCCCTCAGACTAGTCATTAAGATAGACGATTTGAGTCTGCCTGAACTGCTGTCAGTAACACTATCCATCAAAAGTTAGGAAGTTACACTATTTCCAAATTGCTAGTCAACCACTGCGACATGATGATGACTGGTCCTCCTCAAACCTAACCCGTCTCACCGGAACTACTACTACCACCACCACCACGACTGATGCTGCCGCTACTGGATCAGTGAAGGACTTGCCCAGTATGGGCCAAAAGGCCTACTGCAGTGTTCATTCTTTGTTATTTACGCGATATTCCACCTGACTTACTATATATACTAGTTTCTTATTATCTCTGTTTTAGGGCTGAAGATGCCACTCGTGGTGAAACGGTTCCTTTAATAAATGTCCTGAACTGTGACCCGTCTTTTCCCACGTGTATATATATATCTGTTCTCTGAACCATTCATTTACAGTACCTGAGGTACTGAAGCAAATTCTCGGGTAGCTAAGGGAAAAGGTTAGACTAATAGATGGGTGGTTTTGATAAGGAGTTGCCTTATATGGGCCAGTAGACCTGCTGCAGTGTTCGTGTTCCTCCTTTATGTTCTTATATACTGGTGCGTGCACTCGTGTGGATGCGTGTGCTATGCGAGTATAGAGTAAGGGCAATATAGTGTGAGAACCCAGCGCTAGAGCATCAAGTGTCTACATCCACCGCCTCGACTTTGTTTACTGTGTTAAAAGATGGAAGCAAATATTGGCCACCTGTTGCTAGTGATAAGCTCAGATATAGTGAGGGGGAGTGCCCTGGTTCCAACAGCCCTCCCTCCCTACTTCTTAACACTCGGTATCTCTCCCAACACTCTCACAGTAATATTACCGCCCTCGCTAACCTCCTGTGTGTTGTAGTTCGTGCATATAAAATATATATATACAAGTATAAACCTTGGTAACAGATACCGGCAAATTGGCTTAGAAAGACACGTGAACAGTCCTCTAAGCAGTTCATAGTGCTCGTATGTGGTGATGTTACCACGAATACTTGCCAGGTACTTGCGAAGAGAAACAAACGTTTCCACTATAAACACATCATCTATCGACGACCTCGCTATGAAACGTAGCCCCACACTAACTTCCACAGCGGGCGTCTACACCATGCCCCGTGGATACTTTCCCCAAGAAATATGTAGGGGAAAAAAGGCAGAGATCCTTCGGTCTGCCTGAACGAACATCGAAATGCCAGCAACAGAGAAGACTTAAGGCACGCCTGTGTCCTCCACAGGGACTTCAAAGGGACAAAATCTTAAGACGTCGACGATGTCTGGAAACCTCGCTAATGGCCGTCACATGATCCCGTTGTCTACCCGTTCTCATCTCAATATGGCATTTTCAGGTCACCATGTGTCATAGCTCACTCTCCGCCCATATATACTGCCTTAAGTCCCAAACTCCATGACTGCTTCAGTTTCTTGTAGACTACAGTGCTCTTCACCAACTAGGCCGAGGAACTGATTACTTCATCTTTTGTATATAGTTTTACATTCTTCAGATTATGTTCTTGTATTGATAAAGCCACTGGTTGGCGAAACGTCTACAAATAAAAATACCCAGATGTTGCACATGTCTTATTTCTTCACATCACTTGAATGCTCACCGTGGGAATGGTCAAGGAGACTGCGAAATCCAGCGACCAGACAGTTACACTGTAGAGCGAGGCAAGTTGAGATGAGCATGTCAGTGCAGCTGCGACCACAGACCCCTGCTATAACCATACCTGCAGCTTATGTGCTGCACCACTGACTGGTCATCTTATGATTAAGACCCATGCCAGGCTGTGTACTGGCGAACATTAAAACAACTCTATATGATACTTCTGTCAAACGTTGGGTGTTCAACACACCTCCAGAGTCGTTCTGGTATATGGGCTATGGCCTGAGTGCCAGAAATGGCTCACCTAGAGTTTAAAGTCACCGCACCCTTGTCATAGGGCTGCCCCCGCCACAGGGCTTTAAGCTGTATTCCACCTGACCTGCAGAAGACTCGCCGTGCCCTTGCCATAGGGCTGTAAATATTACATCACTTGTACCAACTCTGACACTCCTTCGGGAGCCACTGTCGGGTCGCCACATGGAGAAGACCCGGGCCAGGACCCGTCCTGGCAAACCTACACGAACCTCTGTATATTAAAAGTGATCAAGGTCCCAGAACCAAAAAGTTTTCTCTCTCGCATGTACACGCGCACACCCCCACACACTACGTACGTGTGAATGTTTAAACTATAATAGCGCAATGTTCTGTGTTAGTATAAAACTCAAATTACAACGCACCTGGTCTGTTGATCAAGATAATAGTCAAGATATCAAGTCTGCTGATCAAGATAACGTCCAATATAACACAGATAAGCTTATACACTGCCCAACTTTCTATTTTCCTCAACTCTCTGAAGTTCCAAATGACCATTCAAAATTCCATGAATTTCCCGGCCAGATAATGCAACTCTGAAATTGTATACCAGCTGTCCCGGTTGCCATGACCAGACGCTTTGTTCCAAAACTATGACGTGGATGAGCAACCTCACAAAAAAACCATGACAGTGGATGAGCAACCTCGCAAAAAAACCATGACATGGATGAGCAACGTAAAAAAAAAAAAAAAAAGTGGCCAAGAAACTTACCAGTGTCCCTGGAGGGTGCTGGTGGAGGGTAGGCCACTTCACTCTGGGGAAAAAAAAAAAAATTGTCAACACAAGAACCAATGCCAAGATTCTTTTAACATTTCCAACATCACTTACACAACACAGAGAAGAGCGGCGCAACAGATCACTTACACAACACTGGGGGGCCAACAAGTAATTTACACAATACTGAGGGCCAACAGGTCATTTACACAACAGGGGGGGGGAACACAGGTCATTTAGTGAGCGAAATTTTGTATAAAATACCGATCAATGTGAAACAAGACATGGACAATCTTAGGGTACTTTACCAAGTTCAAGTTTCGCCACGAAGCCAGTTAGAGACGAAACGTTTCTTCATTGTACATAAATGGTATACAATACCGATAAGATGAAGAATTAGACCCAAGTGCAACATCTGGGCATCTTTATTTGTAGACGTTTCGCCAACCAGTGACTATCAATACAAGAACAATGTGAGGAATTGTATACAAAAGATGAGGTAATCAGTCCCTCAGCCTTAACGTTGGAGTTGGTGCAGAGCACCGACTGAAGAAACTAAAGCACAGTCATGAAGCTTGGCGCTTATATACCGGCGACAGGTGAAGGACGCACAGCAGAAACGTCTACAAATGAAGATAGCAAGATGTTGCACATGTGTAATTCTTCACGTTTCTTCGTTATCCAAACACTGCACGTAATATTTCACAAAGAGCACATCATATTATCGAGAACACGTACATACTGAACACTACGTACAGTGTACGTGAACCTTGCATAGGAAAAAATATCACGCGAGAATTAGGAAAACCATATTTTGTTCATAATTATACAAAAACGTAGTCAGGTCAGTCATGAATGGTGGTTAACTTGGACATAGACGTTGGTTAACCCAGTAGTAACACTGCGACGACTGGCGGTAGTAATACAATATAGAAGGGGGTCAGGATGTTCATTAGACTTTTCTTCCGCCCATCGGGGGGGGGGGGGTTGGCTTTAACCATACGAAATAAACATAAAAGAAATCAGAAACCACTTGGCCATAAATGTGACCGTATATATTTTTTATTTTGCCTGTGCCTTGCATGGGAACAGGCCTTTCTGTTTATTGCTCATTCAGTCAGGCTATTGCTGTTGGCAGTCCGCTGGCCCTGCATAGCCATCACAGCTTGGTGGATCTGGCACTTCAGAAGAGGTAATGGTCCAACTCCCTTCTGAAATCCGCTGATAGGAAGTAGAGTGGTCCTTAACCATGAACTGTCGTATACTGTTCTCTCGTGTCCCAGCTTTTCACTGAGTAACTCTGTATTTTACACTTGCCATATATCCGACTCCAGTACGATATAGTGTAGATCTGGGACCAGTCCCAGTGTAGATTCCAAATACTTTGAGGCATACCTAGTTGTTCAGACTGTACCGGCTCTAGGCAGGCAGTAAACCATCTCTACCTTGCATCGTGCCTTGAACAGAGCCGTAAACATGTATCAACGGGGCACCAACCGAGTATAAACGAGGTCATGTCAATAGGACACCAGCAGTCTAGACTAGCATACAACGTCAACGGATACCAGATTATAAAGACCGCCAGTGGGACAGTGAGGGAACATACGATGGTATCCGGTGAAAGCCATTTCCAGTAACCACAACAAAGAAGCTTAAAGTATGGAGAGAAAATAACACAGGATGGACAAAGGGAGGTGGGGTAAGGGAGGTGGGGGTAAAGTTTTCAAGAAACTTATTACATAATAGACCGGGAATTTTAACCTTGGTCCACGCCACTCACTACCATGATAAGATTTCCTCACAGTTCGTTAGGCAGCGTGAAGGTTATAAAGTAAAAACTGCAACACGAGAAATAACCCACATACAGGAAGAAAACTTATGACTACTGTTGCGGTCCGCATTGGACCATTGCAAACGTCCCACACTATATGACTATTAATGATCCAAGTCGGCAGCAACGCCGTCACAAATGTTTTTCTTCCTATTGCGGGTTATTTGTTATCGTCCATATCCAGTCACGACATTGTGCCTTATTCTATACACGAGAGAAACGTCGGTATCACAAGTCAGTTTAAGTGAAACAGGCGTGCACACACACACCACTCGTTCAGTAAGTTATTGAAAACCGCCACAAGAGGCACAGGGGAGACTAAAGGAAAGAAAGATGGAGAGGATGAGGAAGCCGGAGAAAGCGGAGAGGGGACAAATGAGTGGGGGCAGACAGATCTGAGATAGGGGGAAGGGGAATAATTAGACAGAATACACTTTTACCAGTGTCGAATTTAACTGACGGGGGTAAACGGGGCACTTCCCTCCGTTCCCACAAAGCCACCCAGGGTCTGAGTTAATGGAGATATCTTCATAAATTAATTTCTGCTGTGTATACTAGTTTTATTTTTTTTATATTTAATACAAACTGGCAGTTTCCCCACCAAGGCATGGTGGCCCGAAAAAAAAAAAACTTACGTCATTCACTCCATCACTGTCTTGCCAAAGGCATGCTTACACTACATTTATAAAACTGCAACATTAACACCCCTCCTTCAGAGTGCCGACACATGCTAGTATGTGTCAGTAGCTCCAGGTCGGCCGGAAGAAAATGACAAACTTGGAAGCTGCCGTAGCTGACAAACCTTTGCTGGAATACTTCATGATATCCTCACTGTCCTACTGGAGTCTCCCAGCTCAGGGCTGGAATATCACAAGGTAGCAGCACACCGCTTGTTATCCAGTTGCTTAAAACAAAGTTTCTGGGAAATCTGGGTATATTTTTTTTCAATAACTACGTTCCAAATAAGTTCTTATCTCTAAGGAAAATGAAGGTCATGGTGGGTGACACTACTATAACACGTACGTAAATTACAAATAAGGTTTTATTAGAAAAGTGGCCCCTCGCCACAAATTGTGCCCCCTGGAGGGGCCCCACCCATCGCAGGTTGTGCGCCCTGGAGGCATCCCATCAAGTCGGTTGTCGACGAGGCTGGCTTCCCCCCAAGATGGTTGTCCCTTCCCCCCAGAACTCTTCCGATCTTTAGTATCGTTAAGGAAACCTATCGATGATTTTTGCAAGCAGTAATTATATAGTATATATTATTATATATATAATATATATATAGTAATTAATATTTATATAATATATATATATATATTATATATAATATATATATAATATATATAATAATATAAATAATGTCGTGCCGAATAGCAGAATGCGATCTTGCTTAAATAGCAACGTTTCATCTGCCATATAGGACAAGGAACATTTGTGATTGCTAGTAATTTCGCCAAAATCATTCCTGAACCTAACGAAAAACAATATATTTCACTGTTTTTTTGTATCAAAATATTTTAGTAAACAAATCTGAAATATATTTAGTTGGGTTAGGCTAAAATAAATTGTTCTTGTTATAATAAGGTTTAGGTAGTTTTCTAAGATTCTTTTGGGAGCAAAATTATATATATAATATATTATATTAATATATATAAAAATATATATATATAGAAATATATATTAAATATAATAAATATATATATATATAAATAATATAAATATAAAATTATATAATATATAAGATATATAATATAATATATATAAAATAATATATATAATATATATATAAATATATAATATATTCTATATATAAATATATAATATATATTATATATAAATTAATATATATAAAATATATATATAAATATATATATATTATAAATAGTATATATAAATTAATATCTATAAATAAAATATATATATAAATATATATATCTAATATAAATATATATCTACATATAAATATATTAAATATATATAAAATATAATATATATATATATATATATAAAATATATATATATATAAATATATTATATTTATATAATATATTTAATATTTATATATATTTATATATATATATATATTTATATATATATATATATTTATATATATATATATAATTAATATTTATATATTTATATATATATATAATATAATATATATATATATATATAATATATATATATAATATATAAGAAGTAACGTCTATATAATTATATATATATATAAATATATATATATTATATATAAAATATATAAATATAATATATAATAAAAATATATATATAGAAATATAAATATATATATATATATATAAATATATATAAATATATATACAATATAAATATATATAATATATATATAATATATAAAATATATATATATATTTATATAATATCAATATATATATATATAAATATATATAAATATAAATATATATATAATATATATAATATGATATATATATATTAATAAATATATATATATAAAAAAAATTATAAATAAAATATATTATAATATATATATAAATATAATATTATATCACACGACACCCACCACTACAAGGACACTCCACCACGCCAACACACCACACACACACTCACCCACACACACACACACACACCACACACCCACACACACACACACATACAGATTCACGTCCACACACACACACATCACACACACACTACCCACACACACACACACAGCACACACACCCACACACACACACACACAACACACACTACACACACACACACACACACACTCCACACACACACACACATACACTCCACACACACACACCAGACCCACACACACACACACTCCACACAACACCCAGCACACACAGCACACCCACACACACACACACCCACCCACACGCCTACGACACCCACGACAAACCCACGACACCACACACGACTACGCATCACACAACCCAACACACCTCACACATCACCCACATACATCCATCACACACCCACACACACACAACCCACACACGACCACCGCACAACACACACGCCCACACGTACACCCACACACACAACACCCACAACACACCCACCACAATACACGGCCGACACACCCTCCACACAACACACACCCACACACAACCCACACACACACACCCACACTACACCCACACACACTCACTCCAACACAAACCCACACACACACTACACACACAACTACCCACACAACACAC